GTCCTCCACATCCTCCAGAGCTGACTCATAGGGCCCCTCGCTGTTGGAGTCTGGTGGACGCTCCAACAGCTCCTGCTGGGCCACAACAATTTTCTATCAGGCTTCATTGCCTAGGGCTAACCAACAGGTTCTGTCAGCAACTGCAGTTTCTAGCTCCTTCGGCTCCGTATCAGAATCGCAGTGTCTTTGTAGAGCTTGTGTGGTCGACCTCAAGGTCTCTTCCCAGACTCCACTATACTGTAGAGCAACTGATGAGGTATATCCCTTCTAATGATGTGTCCCACACATCTCATCTGAGCTCTGATAACCAGGCATTCAATGCTGGTGGACTCTGCACAATCCAAGACCCTCCAAATTGGATACATGATTTTGTGAATAAATGCCAAAGATTGGAGAGCATGCATCTAAAATTTCTCTTATTTGCCATGCCTTCAGTACAGAGTCCAGAACTTACATCCATATAGAAGGGAAGGGCTAACCACAGCTCTGCTCTGTTGAATTTGTTGATTGCACACTCTAGTACGCAATCCCTTTGGTGCTTTTGCCCAAAGATCCATCACTTAAGATGATCCTTCCCAAGTATTTAAACCTGTTTACATTTGTCAACTGGGTGACTATGGAAAGGATGCACAAAAACCTTATAACCAACCGACACACTGCACGTAATGAAAGATGTTTTTATGTTATATGTTTTTGTCTATGTTTGTTTAAAAATAAAATAAAAACTTCTTTATTAAAAAAAAGAGATAGACTGAATTGGCAAGCAGGAGAATTTGAAATTATTACTTAATATAAAGCATAATGCAGCAAGTACTTATAATCCAGGATTAACTTCTCTGTACTTTAGAATATACAGCTGTGCATTTAAAACATCTAGCAATATGAACAGTTTGCTGCTCCATGTTAATACTGTACAACATATATTAGTTGCACAGCATGTATTAGTAATTAGTATAACTGTTTTTCCTTAGAGTAGACCTAATGACTGTATAGTCATGCCTAATTTAAAGTTCATTTAGTTCAATGAGAGTTTTCTTAAGTATTGTCAGGTACGGATACAAGTCTAATCGTACTTCTTTTGTCTTACCTACTCCTATTGTCCAAAGAAGCCAATAAGATTTTTTTAACATTATGTCTGAACCTGAATTCCAGAATGGCAAACTAAGAAACTGCACATGGCCTAAATTTGTGGTTTGTGAGGAAAATAATTAACCAAGGATCCTGGACTGAACATAATTTCAAACAAAATCAAGAGAAATCCAGCAAGAGTCATCAGACAACATGCACTACCATGCTTCTTTAGATATATATCTGATTGTTAAATTGAGCCACTGATTAGCTATTTATAAAAAAAACAGTAAGATCACTCATACATGTTTTGTAATACTATACATGTATATTGCCTTATACAGTAAGATGATGTTATGCAGCAGGCATACAAGCTATTTGCAGAAAGCAAAGTAGGTCATGTTACCTCTCTCTTATTTCTCCTGGCAACCTTGAGGAATTCCATCAAAATCTGTAGCTGGGCAGCATGAGACTCCTGTAACAATAAGTTGTGATAAACAGGTGGAAAAAGGAAATTGGTAAGCAAAGAGGCATTTAAGACACTGGCATTCTATGTACAATATTTAAGTATGGATATATACCTATTTGACTCACAAACTGCTAACTGTATGACATTGAGAAAACAAACGGTTTATCCACAACTTAAAATCCATTTCAAATCAGAGTTTCATATCTTGTATTATGAAATAATCATGTTTGTAGAGATTCTGCTCTAAGGAATTCAAAACACTAGGGAAGCAGCTCATATTCTCCTAATTAGTTCTTACCAATACTAGAGGCAATAAGGAAAACACCAAGCAAAACAGAAAATAATATTCTGTACTAGTCAAAAACTGTGCACATTAGGCAAGTGAGTATTTTGACCATATCATCCGTTCTATGCATATTTCCCAACTCCAAGCTGTATAAGCCCGAATGTTTAATGGATATAAGCAGATCAGGTGATGTGTATTTGAGTAATGAGGGATGGTGTGGCCTAAGGAGATCAACACCCTATATATCAAGGTGTGCATAATTATTAGGCAACTTCTTTTCTTCAGGCAAAATGGGCCAAAAAGAGATTTAACTGACTCTGAAAAGCCAAAAATTGTAAAACATCTTTCAGATGGATGCAGCACTCTTGAAGCTGCTAAGATATTGGGGTGTGATCACAGAACCACCCAACATTTTGTTAAAATTAGTCAACAGGGTCACAAGAAACACGTTGAGGAAAAAAAGATGCAAATTAACTGTCAAAAGATTTGAGAAGAATCAAATGTGAAGCTACCAGGAACCCATTATCCTCCAGTGCTGTCATGTCCCAGAACTGCAATCTATCTAGAGTGCCCAGAAGTATAAGGTCTTCATTGGTCAGAAACATGGCCAAAGTAAGGACGCACCCAATTTCCTCCACCACAGGAAGCTGTTAAGCTTTAGGGCATGTCTGGGATAATCCTGGCGACGCGGCTCGCATTCCGTCATCTTGCCTGCCTAGTCACCTTAAAGCCTCTAGGAATCTCGGTTGCAAATGGGAGCTCATCAACCCTGCACGCCCAGGAGTCGGACAAGCCTCTTCGGCCCAGAGGCAAGAACTGTGAGCCCTGCCTCCTTATGAGACTGACCAGCAGACTCGATGGCCGGCAGTCTGATAATTTAGGAATTTAGAGTATCCAATTAATTGAATTAAAAAGCAATTATTAGTATCTCAAGGAGCCAAAAACCAGTGCTTGGACCAGGAGACTGAGAGGAAACTGGGAGCCAATAGGGAAGGATGGTGACTTTAAGAAAATTCCCTCAGTCTCTGGACCAATCAGGCTGTGACTTAACCCTGTTGTAACCCCTCCCACCGAGCTGCAGGAAAACAAGGGTGGCTATATTGGTCACAGTTTTTTTTTAAATGTCAGAAATGTTTATATGTAGATTTTGAGTTTAGTTTAGTTGGATAATAATTCAGCACACTAATAGCTGCCCAATAATTGTGCACATATTGATATTCTCCTAAGAAAGCCAAAACCTCATTAACATTTCAGATTGACTGAGAGCACTGCAGTTGTTCAATAATAAACTCAATCCTCCAAAATACAACTTGCTTAATATTTGTGCACCCAATGTATTTTGAGAAAATACCATTCCCTCCAAATGTTGCAATGAAACATATGGCATAATATTTATTTCATACCATTTTTTCTTCTATGGAACAAAAAAGGAAACACAAGCCATATACAGACAAATATAAATTCATTTGGATATTGTCAAGGAATCCATTCCAGGAATTGCTAATATATAACATACCACAACACAAGACAGCATGGGAAAGCTGGGAATGCACTCAACAATTTTGGAACATTTATAGATAAAGGAGCCCTTCTGCTCAAGATGTTGATAATAAAATATATGCTTAAAATTATTTGTTCAAATATTTTATCAACATATGAAACCTAGTGAAATAATGCATTTGTTACATGTCTAAAACATCTTATGAAAGCCAACAGATTATGCCTTCATTTAAAACTGAATAATGAAGTGGATGTTAACTTTTCTCCAGCCATGTCACAATCTTGTATGATGGACTAGAGAACACCCTGCTACTTTAAAAGATCTCACATAAGGCCATCAAAATCTCATAATGCATTTTTTAATAAAGTAAAGCATTTTATTCTGATGACAGTAGGACCATCAACTGGGTATTCAAGGACCATTTAGGGCATTTAGAAGCTAAGTTTCTGGTCTGTACATTAGTCCCTCAACCACACTCTGGCAAAAAGGGTAATAAGTTTCATTAAAAGAAATATATTGTTTTATAATATATATCTACTAAAAGATTAGAAAAAAGCTTACTGCCTCCAGTTGTTTTTTCTTCTGCACCAGAAGTTCCAACATTAAGTTAACATTGGCCAAATCAAGATTGTCTTGGTCTGTTCCCAACAAATCTTGAAATATTTGCCACCTGTGCCCATTCTAAAGAGAGGGGGAGGAGAAAACAAATAATAATGACATGTTTCAGAGCCTTAATTCAATATAGCATAGACATTTCATAATAGCATAAATCAATCACAGTAATCCAATGTAAGCATACCACTCTGAGAAAAATAGTAAGAAAAGGATAAACTTAATTCTGGCTACTTTTTTCTTTTTCACTATTTGCGGAAGCAATGTCCAATCTTCTTGAGGTGAATCAGGACATGCATTACTGCAGTTGTGCAGAATCCCATACTTTGCTGTAGAAATGAGCCCTGAATAATATAATCCCAAACTTATACCACTTCCTTCCTTCACTCCCATATCCTCAAAATATTCTTTGGAACAATCAACTGTTATTAGAGCTTCAGTTATGCAATTCAGATCCAGAGAGGACTCCAAAGTCATGCACATCTGACAGAATCTCTCATGTCTCCAGTTTCACTTGCAATCCCATACAAAATACTATGCTTAAACTCCCAGATGCAGCTAGATTGATGAATGGGCATGAACAGATACATGCTGAAGAAGGGGGGAAAGCCCAACAGCATGTGCAGAATGTTCTAGAAGTTATTTAAGTAACTTATTTGGGTAATTAGATATGTAGTGGAAACTGTGATATTTCAGATGAAATGTTAATGCATCTATCTGTTTCAACATGTAGGGAAACAAAAGAATGTGGTCTCCTGTTCCAAAGAAAAGTTTAACAGAAACTGTATATGTTTACTTTAATATGAAAGTAAAATCTTTTAACCAAACTGTTTCAATTTCTTGTGTAAGTACAATGCTAACAGTCCAAATACAATAATGTTAGCATTAGTCCATAGCTATACAATTACATTTAGCATCTGTTTATGATTATCACCTGAACTTCAACAAAAATTGTTCACATATTTACATTTGTGAATAAACTATTTCAATAATATACTCGATGTGCTTAAAAGTTATGATCTCATGACAGATTAATTCAGTATGGCCCCAACTTGCTGGTTTTTTTATAAGCCCATAAAGACCAAGCTATGTGCCAAGGCCTGGGGTTACAAGTTTGTGCAGACCCACTTTATGGTTAATGTAGTTATTATAATGAGTGATTTATTCTTGGCTCCTACATATTTTTTAATATTATTAGTCACTAATAATTATTAGTCACTTCATGAGATAAGTAGCCAAATTAAATAAATATACAAATAAATGTTTCTTGGAAGAACCTTAGAATCTATCTGAATGGCATAAGCATACCACATTCACCTAAGTTCTCAAAAGAAAGATATAGATGTTGTGTTATGATATGTCCCCATGCATTGTTTCATGTGATTTCCCTCTTTATACATGTTATAATGACTGATGTTTGCAGTTACACTGGCCACCATGCCACATGTGACTTCTCATATATATACCACCAGATACTTCCTATCGGTATCAAAGCTTAACCAGGAATTTAACTCATGGGCCATCTTATATAATGATCTGAACTGGAATGGTTCAAGACTTCAATCTCCTGTAGACAATTTGAATTTCACAGAAAAAGACCTGGCTATGTAAATGAGAAGTGTACTATCAGTTTTAATATCACTGATATTCTTAGCTAAGTCTTATAAAGCATAACTTTCACGATTATCTCATTGTCATAACTTGTAGTAATTACAAACTGCACTGGAAAATACAGAACATTTTGAATCTATATTCACAAATTTATCAAAACCATTATTACTGTATATTAAAGGGTAAAGTTAGACTATATAATGAAAATCCCAAATAACCCTTTAGATTGAGTTGTCTGCCAAAGAAACAGACATTCTCAAATGCTTAGAACATAGGAATACCATGCACTCAGTCCCTCAATCCCCAAAATAAGAAAATGAAAGAAAGAAGATTGGGACATACGGTGCTACTCACTGAATGGTCCAATTTGAATCTCTTTTCCTCAAATCTTTGCTTCTGTTTAAGGATGAGCTCATTCACTACAGGAAAAAAAATATCTATGTAGTACATTTTAAGATGATAGATGAAAGTGTCTTAGAAATACATGCATACTAAGAAGGTCAAAGGAGTAAATTTCAACACTGCGCTTTTATTAATTCAGTAAGATTAAACACAACAGAGCAACAATTATTACTCACTTGCCAATCAGAATAAAAAGATTTCCCTTTTTTTCTGTAAAATGTATACTGTACGTACAGTATTTTTAATTTATACAGCAGTATTGATGAATACAGTCACTCATTTTATTTCAGAAAACTATAAAGTACATCAAAATAAGATGCATCTTCACCATTCTGTAACTGGTTCATCAAATGTGACCATTAAATGCATTCAGATTTGTGGGTGTCCAACCTCCTCTAACATATTAATGACCAAGACATCATAGTTCTAGCGCATTTAAATAAAAAATATTTGGTGAAAATAAATCACACCATTGTTATCACACCTTGGGATTACTGTAAGCATTCTACCTGGGTTTCACTTAAACACGATCCAAAGCTACCATTGGTAAAGAATGTGACATCCATTATGCAAGTGAATCTGCTCAATATTGAAAGGGAGAGGATGCTGAGACTCTAATATCTACAAATATTCAAAGGGACACGGGCCCTAAGGCTCTTCTTTGATAGCCTCCATCATATTTGGTACCCCTATTATTAGCTTTCAAGGAAGCAATCTTGAAGACTGTTTAATAATTTGGTAGCTATGCATATTCTAGAATTTGGATTTTGTTATAGTTATTGTGATTTCATGCTTTTTGATATTACTTTTTACTCCTTGAATAAATCAAGGAGATTGAAGCTCATCTAATATGTAGGAATATTAAAAGCTACATTTTAGTGTACACAATAGTCTACTTACAGCAGATGTTACCTATATCAAAATACTGTATTTTTCGGACTATAAGACGCTCTGAAGTGTAAGACGCACCTAACTTTTCGGGAGGAAAACAAGAAAAAAAAAATCTGCCTGCCAGCAATTTGCCTCCTTGCAGCAAACAACGTGGTCAGCTTCAGCACACTCTGATTTAGCACAAGCAGCTGATTGGCAGTTGGACTGGCCTCCCGGAATACCTATCAGCTGTTCCAGGCGGCGGTGATCGCCGCCACCCATTGCCACCTCCACACACCTCATTTCCGGCCTCCACGCATCCCGTTTTCAGCCTCCATGCACCCCATTTTCAGCCCGTTCCAGGCGGCGGGAATCATTGCCACTTGGAATGGGCCGAAAATGGGATGCACAGAAGCCAAAAATGGGGTGTGTGGAGGCGGTGATAGGTGGCAGAAACAATGGGCGGCGCCAGCGCCGATGGGCAGTGGTGATCCCCGCAGCCTGGAACAGCTGAATGGCAGCATTCCTGGAGGCAGATCCAACCGCCACTCAGCTGCTCATGCTAAATCAGGCTGTGCTAAAGCTGACCACGTTGTTTGCAGTTTGCTGCAAGGAGGCAAATTGCTGGAAAGCAGAGGATGAAGGGTGGAGGTTGGTGGGTAGGCAGGACTTCGGCAACATTCGCTGTATAAGATGCACAGACATTTTCAGTCACTTTTTTTGGGAGGGGGGTGCGTCTTATACTCCAAAAAAGAAGTACAATTTCCCCCATCATATACAGAAGGTTCTTAACATTGCTCTTTTAATAAGTCTACTACTTTAACTATTGTCAAATGTACAAAATGGACGTATTTGCACGATATACAACCAAATTACATAATTGCACTTTTTCCTACCCTCCCTATTGGTTTCATGTATGTTTCTCCTATTCACATAATCAAAAGGAAGAAAAAACTCTAATCCAGTTTTATTTTTTCCTACTTCCAATTTATCATTACATGAAACATAAATAATTGTTTAAAATAAATTATTGATCAGCAATCTGGGGGCTTGCAAGCTCACTCGCAAACAGTCCAAGATCAGAAAAAACTATTATCAAACCACTATACAAATACCACTATTTCCAAAAAATGAGCAGAAAAAGGTTTGTAAACCCATATTGGCAGGAGAATTGAGTCATAGGCACTATGGTTTAATACGATTTTTTGGCGACTATAAAATTCATTTAGCATAAGCCTATTTTGATCTTTACCCCACTCTCTTCACATCTCAAAATGAAATATGACTAAGAATTATTAAATTATTTGGTTACTAATAGTTTTCAATTTGTTGCTTTCACAATCACAGTCCACCACAGACTCTCTCAAATTCATCACTTATTGTTTTGCAAAGCTAGTGTGATTTTTATATCACTGAAAACCTGATAGATATTCAGATATTGGATATCCATGTAGTCTATGTTGTACAAAATCAACAGAAGCATGTGAAACATAATAAAGAAATAAACACCCAGAAATAAAAGTTGTTATTGAGAAAATTACCAAGCTATGATTGAAGGCTGTATTACTGAACATTAAAACTTACCTAAAAAGTTGGGATATAGATGATCAATGTTATCCACAACGTAATTACATTTGGGACATCTATTGTTATCTTCTAGGCTTTGATGAATACATTTGTAACTGTTCAAGAAAAGTAACAGGACAGTGAAAACTACTGCAGAAATTTATTAAGATATGCTTTTGAATGTGATACATTACATTCTGTTTGTTAATTGAGGAATTGGAGCTGTGATACCAGGTGGTTGGGTACTAAAGTTAGATCAAATCAATGAAGCATCTTCAAGTTCTGGGCAACTTTTTTTTTAATAACTAATATTACTTTGTTGCAAAAAGCAACAAAATATTGGATGTTAATAGGCAGTTTTAAAATACTATTAGTTGCAGATTTATCATCTTCAAAGATATTTTCATAACATACAAAAGTGGAGAAAGAATTGTATGCATCTAAACTTTCGAAGAGACACATCACTTCAAAAAAATAAGCTTTTAAGGGTAAGAATTTTGAAAACCAGTGATGGCTTTGAAGAATTCATAGTCACTTATAAGAATCTGAAGCATGTGTCGTGTCCTGCTTCATCCACCTAATTGTTTTCATGTTTTAATAGTTATTTGTTTAAAGCTATGTCAGTACTACCATTCAGAAATAGAAAATGTTTTGTGTTATCTCCAATGAATACTGAGTTAAAAAGGTGCATTTAACAAAATAACTTTAGTTCACACACTTTCATTTTATAACTAAATCTCTCTTGTTAAACAGGTTTATGAAGCAACCTTACCAGAAACTGTGTCCACATTTTGTCATGTAAGCTTCTTCAATCATATCAAAGCAGATGGGGCTTGAAAGGGAAAGAAAAGGATATAAATATCAATGGAAACTTTTAAACAAACATTGTTTCTTTTAGTGGTAAAGAAGAGGGAGAGCCAAGGGAATGAACCCAATAGTTGATAAAACTCTTGTTACACACTACCAGCATTGAGAAACCTTTGTTAATCTCTTATTAATAGAAAGCCCAGAGACCAAAAGTTAGTCATTTATATGATTTAAAATCTAAAGAAAAATCTAGAAAAATAGGCCGAGACATAAAAGATGCAATACAAAAGGCATTCAAATACACATCCAAGTTACTTCTTTATGTATATATCTGGAAAAAGTAATTGATAGAAGTTATCTCAGGTTCTATACTTAAAATTTAAATAGGAAAATGGTTAAAAATGAGGAAATAATGCTTTTTAAAAGTAATTAAATTACTTAAAATTTAAAATTAAATTACTTAAATTATGGCAAAAAGCGTATCCAAGCAAAATACTTCTTTTGCAAAATAATGATGGAGCTACATAAAAATATATACTAAAAACAACCCAATTTTCCAGGTCAGTATCAAGAACTAGTTGAAATCTTTGATGAAGGAATTCATTTTGAAAAATCAGAAAAACTCTAAAACACTCATTTATATATGTGTTTCTCTTTAAAAATTTAAGATTTTTTTTCAACTATCAACATTTTAAAATCTGAAAAGGGAGTAGCAGGTTTTTTTTTCTAAGTGTACAAATTGTTAAAATATTGCAGTTAAAAAAACAGGGAATTCTCAAAAGGTTCATTTTAATTTCTTCACACATTCCAGAATTATTCCAGTCAAAGCCATATTCAACAAAAACAGAATGCAATATAAAACAGCATGGACCACTTTCTCCTATAGTATAGAAACAGCAAAAACATCCACCAAAAGAAATATAAATACATTTTTTTTGCTAAACATCTTAGTTTGCTTACAATTTCAACAATGTAAACATTGCTTTTAAATATCCAAAAAAGTTTTCAGTCTTCTATGATCAAAGATCAAGACTAAACTCTCAGTTTAAAAGGGGGGGAGGGGTTCCTACCTGTGGATTTTACTCTACTAATAATAACCAACTTGGGGGAAGGCAGCTGAACTGGATGGGTGCATAAATCCAAATGTCTTTTAAATCTCAACTGAAAACACTTATGAACATTTGTTTTAAGATTCATTTCACTGAAATTATTGAGATTAAAAGTAAATAAATTAAAGCTAATAGTTGCAAACTACACATTGCTGCAATATTGCTTTGGTTAATTGTTCAAAGAAAACAAAAATATAAAAGTTTAACATGGAGGTGTAAGGTAAAAACCCACTGGTGATCCTTGTTCTCACAATATAGCATGACAAAAACATACTGTATTTTCACCCATATAACCCGCCCACGCAAATAACCCGCACACGCATATAACCCGCGGGTTATATGC